TAGATCAGAGAAATCATTGCTGTATGCATAAAATTCAGAGTCTGTTGAGTGGGCACCTTTCGCAGAAATTTTCTTCACAGTCATCTTCTTCACTAAAATTACTTCCAACTTCATCTAGAATTTTTTTCAGTTCTTCTGCATAACGCGGATCAGAAGGATAAATGAATCTCCGCAGACCTAACTTCAGAGCCATGTGTTCACTACTGCCGAAAATTGTAACACTGAGAGGGAGGTGAGGTCTCGCAGACCGCTCTAGAAGAATTTCAACAGATACACTTGCCAAAGCATTCCGATAAGAAGAGGTCAGAAAGAAGGTCACGAAACGTGAAGCTAGGGAAAGAATCCATTCAATTGGACAAAGCATGCAATAGGGGTGATGGGAGGAACATATGGCGCGGTCCGCCAGACCGCACGTCCCCTGTTACAGGTTAAAGTGTATTTATCAATTTTAGAACATGGCTTTTTTTTGGTCGCAATCTAGTATAGACAATGCAATCTATAGTGATACGAATTATAACCTGTAGCTGTATGAAATGAATTTTTTCTTTTCTCTTTGTGATATACCTAAACTTGTGTAAATTTTTATATTCCTATGAAAACAGAGGCCCGCCTGGCATATTTAAACTTTTGTCTCTTGCTTCATAGATGTTTGTTTTCCTGAAAAAGATAAATAACTGCTTTTTTTTTTTTTTTTTTTTTTTTTTTTTTTTTTTTTTTTTTGTTGTTGTTATATATTTAACTCTTTGAAGGGCATTGGTATATAATATATATCGGATGTTTGTTGATTTTTTTAACCTCCTAAAAATGCTAATTTTTCTACACCAAAAGTTGTAATCATAAGTTTCCACTGTTTCCTTTTGATTCTAAATGGCAGCACTGCCCTATAAATGCTCAATATTTTGCAGTTATGAAATTAATTTACCTCTTTCAAAGGTATTATGTTTGAATATTCATAAATTCTATTGGAGGGTAGGAAAACATTCTCGATCCTCAAATATATGATGCACACATGCTGAACCTTTTATATTTACTGCATTTCAATCAAAACTGATAATTAAAAGAAGATTATGTATACGTTTTTAATACCAGTGTATAATATATACCGGCTTCCCTACTAAAGGTACCTTGCCAATAAATGGCAGCACCAGGCCTCTCCCTCTCTACCCTATGAGGTGACAGAATTTCTTTACATTATAATAGTTTATGATTAATTTACAAGTTGTTTAGGATTCAGTATTATGTTCATGGGGGTATGGGACGTTTACTGACTCTGTCCTGAGACTGAATACAAGTATATTAGTTGCAGTCTATGTTTACACCACTTGAATTTCTCATTCATCTCTGTTTAGCTATAATTTTAATTTCAGCATGCGACTCTTTCCCATGAGAAAGAAAGACTCGTCTGGCGTCAAAAAATGGTACACAACTGTAGGGGTTAAATGTGGCATTGTTAGCCCCCAAACGTACCCGTTGTTTTGGGTTTTCCTACAATGCAGTAAAAAATGAAAAGAGGTGACAGACAACTAATTTGTCACACAGGGATTATGCCATCTCCACAAATGGACTGTGATAACATCACACAAAGGAAAAGCTCTAAAAGGATGGGGAAATTAAAATTCACTTTAGGTCCATTTCTTAGTGCAATGAAAAAACTGCTGATTTGAAAGCATGCTTTTATTCTTTACGTCTTTGTTAATTTCAGATGAGAGACTAAGGAATACAAGAAACATTTTTTCCCTGGGTTAGGATACGAGTATGCGGTTTAGTCTTCATAGCTGGTGAAAAGAGGGAAATATTTCTAAAGCCAGTTTTAGTTGCAAAACATTGATCTTAGGAAGGAAAAAAAAAGGGGGGGAATATTTGAGTTTTTAAAGTTTTGATAGAAATAAGAGCTTTGAGGTGTATCAATAATAAAATCGTTTAGCAGCTTTTTTCTTGAACAAAATGATATATTACAACCTATATTTACAAAAAAAGTAAAAAGGGCCCCTTACAGGGCCTGATAATCGAAAGTGTGTGTGTGTGTGGGGGGGCGATTCTTGCTATCATGGCATGAAGCATAATATAAGTCGCGCTTTCGAGACATGAAAAACGCAGTGTGAATTTTATGAATCGGCCCAGTAGAACGGGAGATATAGCACTGTCCTTTTTTTTTTTTTTTTTTTTTTTTTTTTGAGCAGTGTACATCAAAAGTCCGCAAAAATAGATGGGGGAAAACACAAATTAACAATTGGCAGTTACCTGGGATAAAAATGTCGTAGAGGAGCACTGGTATAAAATATATACCGGCCCTCAAAATTCAGGATTTCACTCTAGATTTTTTAAGTTTCAATTTTGTTTCCTAAGGGTCTATAAGTTACCATTTGTTCAAAATTTTACCACAATTTAAATTATTTTATATACCACCTCTCAAAGGGTTAAAGGAATTTAGCAAGGTCTAATATCTACTTTTAGCTATTACTAAGGATAAGAAGAATTCAAATAACTGGTATTTGTAAAATTTTACTTGTGTTCAGCAATGTGCCTAAAGCAGCAAGAAGTGTTAGGCTCATAGCCATTTGGTATGATCGGTAGCATATTGTTCTCAAATGCTAAAGGCAGAGGGTTCAAGTCCCTATGGCAGTGGAAGTTTTTAATTAATTTCATGAATTGATTTATTTTGTTAACTTTACTGCTCATTGTTGTGCAAAGTTTGTTTTATATAGAATAAAACAGTAGAATAATTCATGCACCTTCAATTAATCTTTATTTAATAATTTTAGTATTTGATTTCATTTAATCTTATTGCCAAATTTCAAAATGTAAAGTTGGATTTATTTTCTGCCTTTAAGCTCCTTTTCTCATTCCTGTGCAATTCATACTGTAGTGAATTTCATGCTTAATTTATTCCTTAGAAAATTGGGGTCTTAACAGTAATTAATGAAATATCATTTACTCGTGTCCTTATTGAGTTTCAGGGACAAAATCATTAATTGCTTGGAGGGTCAAGTCAGTCTGACTGGAGACATTGTTAAAATTTGAAACAAACAGCTGTACTGGCCATTGACTTAGAATAATAATATCACCAGATTACTCTGTGACAAAAAGTGCAGGCAATGAAGATGTAATTAAAATCAGCATTGCAAAATACGTAAGACAGGGTTGCCACGCTACCTGGAAAACTGGAAAAAGTTAGGGATTAATTTTATGATAAATTGGTAACAAAATTGTATTAAATTAAAAAAAAAATTACGGAATTACTCTTATATACTCCCTAAGTTGGCGACAAATTTCTCACCAAACATTTTTTGGCGAGAAAATCCACGCCGCCATATTACTACCTATATTTTTCATCTACATTTCGAACTTTAAGCCTAAAATGTCTGCAAAAACGTGATTTTCGCACGTGCAAAAACCATGTTTTAAACACACAATTTAAGCTAAAAATTCAAAACAAAAACAAAAAATTTAGATAGCAAAAACGTAAAGTTTCTAAAGAATATTTCGGAAGAATCCATGTACACAACGATATGTTTTAACTTAAAAAACATCACAGAATTGCACAATCTATACAGCAGAGGAATCTACGAACTACACACACCTAGCTTAAATAAATTAACATAATAACGATAAATTTCAAATAATACCATGTATACAGCGTTGTGTTTAAACTTTAAAAAAAAAAAATCTGCGGATAGCACAATCTAGGCAGCATAGGAATCTACGAACTACAGACACATCGCTTTAATAAATTAACAAAACAACACTAAATTTCAAGAATACCCTGGACACAGCATTTTGTTTCAACTTTAAAAAACATCTCCGAATTGCACAATCTAGGCATTGCGCACTAATCAACAAAATAAACTAAAATAAATTTCAAACAATTCAAAAAAACAACAATAATGAGAAAAATTCATACTAAAAAAGAAATGAACATAACATTCTTTAAAATAAGAACAAACATAAAATAAAATACACTTACCATGAATGAATGCTTTTTCGAATAGCAGAAATACCAATTTCATGCTGTCACATAATCATTATTGTATTTATATAACAGCCAGATTCACTATCTACAAAATTGATACTATCTTTCACAAATAAATGTTCAAAACCTTTTCCTAAATCCTCGTAGGATTTCCAGCCATCCGAAAAAATAGTTGTACCAGGCTCAATCCACTCTTTAATACACTGCATCAGAGTTTCCTTACTTCCTCAACAGGATGGCCATGATGATATTTCCTTTTGCCCCTCAACAGGATGGCCACGATGATATTTCCTTTTGCCGAACTTCAACACATCAACTTCCACCACTTTATCTTTCCCTCCTATCTTCTGAGACATACAGCATACATAAATCACTTAAATACTTCACACCACACGAACCACTAGTAAGTGAAACCAGCTAAAATCCAAGTTTCCACGTAAAAAGGGTTGCCATAAAAACCAACATCTCCCCCAAAACCATCGCAGAACACGCAATCACGCCAAAAACAAACGCACAACACATATCGCCGCATTTGGCAACCTGAGGGTGCATATAAGAGTAGTACCAATTTTACAATTTATTTAATTATATACTAAAATAAATTACAAAATTATTAAATTCCTTCTATATGTTTAAATTAAATAACTTAATGTTCTACAGATATTGAATGAGTTACTGCTTATCGTAGCCAATTTTGTTTTCATACATGTTTATAACATTTGTCAACAAACCATGCTTTCTTATGGTCAGATTTTGCTAGTGCCATTTTCTCTCATCGAGATCACTACAGAAGATAAGTACGAATATTTGTAATTTAAACAGGAAAAAAAAACTCAGAAATTCATATAGGACTTCTGATTGCAGATGGGGCTTTTACAAATATATGTTGCTTTTAACTGTTGTAGAAATTTTTATTTTATTTATTTATTTTGAAAATGTATCAGTTAATAACTATTATTACCCTTATTTGGTAATTACTTTTTCATTTACATGCTACTAATGTTTAAATGTTAATAAATTTATTTTACAGCTGCAGAGCAAGCTGAAATTCAGAAAAAAATTGATGCACTTCAAGCTGATGTTGAAAAACAAGATCAGGATATACATCACTTGCAAAAATATTTAAAAGAAGCAGAGCATTTATTGGTATTTTTATTGTGAATTTATTTTTCTGTAGGAGGGATAGCCAAACTTCGTGTTAGCCTAAGCCACAGTTAAATTTTCAAAAGCTGCAAGTAGATATTTACATAGTCTTAAAAATAGTAGAATAGTTTTTGAATGAGAAGAAAAATTTGAGTAAATCAAAAAAGATTTTCCATTTAAAGAATAAATCAACAGTTGTTACCAATTCTTTATTTATCCTTCCAACCTGTTGCTCTGTATTCAACAAATTTTGCTCTTATGATATGAGACAAATTAATTTTCTGTGGTATTCCAATTTTCCCTTGAAGCCAAATCATGAATCATTTTCCTCAATTTTTATTATCAATAAATTTAAATAAAAATATATTTAAAAAGCCAATGATGCTTATAATAGTGTAAAATAATTTTTATTTGAATAATGCCAGTGTTTTAAAAATACAAGATTGATTATTTAAAGTTTCTTCTTAATTATTTGTTTAGCTTTAACTCATATATGCTCCTGAAAAGCAAATAAATTTTTTGTGTCAGAACAAATGAGGAAAAATTAGCATAGTTTAAACTGTCAGTTTACTAGGATTTTTATGTTAAAAATAATAAATTTCTTACTCACAACTAATGTAAAGATCAAGAAATAGAGATCAAACTTTAATGAATTCATTAGATATGAACTGCATCATCAGGTATTTAATCATCCCAGTGCATGATACAATTATATATATTTGGCTAAAAATATATTTACGAGTGCCTCTAGGTGATTTTTGGCGGTACATGGACTCCGAATTTGTGCAATTCTTTGACTTGTTATTTTGGTTTTGTATAACGGCAATTTTTGTGCTGAAAATCGCCGCTACACAGATTCAAAATACAAGTCAAAGAATTGCACAAACTCAGTATCCATGTACACATCGACCTATTTCCACTTAAACCTCCACGATTTCCACGGGATCCAAAATCCATCTCGTAATACGGGTCAAATGAAAATAGGTGTGTAAGTTTTTTAAAATTAAGAAAAACTATTCAAATTTCTACATTATACCAATTTTGTTCATAAAGATGTGAATAATAATGTATGAAGACAGAGAATATAAAATAAAGCCCCGTATTTCAGAACCAGAATGTGTCCAAAACGTGTTGTACACGGAGGGTTAATAAAAAAATCGGAGACTTCCACACACTAGGCATTGCGCACTCCCTTGACTTTGTCCATGTACACATCGATCTATATTCACTTAAAACGTCAAAAGAGCAGCCAACAGAAAAAGTATAATCCCAATAAACTACATTTTAAATTAAACTATGAAATAACATAAAAAAGGAAATTCATCTTAGCACTACACAAAGGAAATATCCACTTATCTTATTTACGAAATTTCTGTGTCTTCAGTCTAACAAAAGTCCTTAATAGCATCCAAAAGCTTCCTAAAATTATCTGAACTAGAATCTGTATACTGGCATTACCACCTAAATTCACAAATGCCTTCACAGCGGACTTTCTAAGGACTGGCTTGTATACTTATTGCACATGGGGAAAACCGCGGAAACACACAGCCAGCCTGTTCGCTGGGATTTAAACTGCAGAACAAACTACCAGTGTTCAGCGACTTTACTGTTCGGTCACTGGTGGGCACCAACAATTATTTTAGGAGCATCTTTACTTCTTGCTGTTTGAATGAGAAGCCCTAGGTATTCTCTTCTGAAGCAATTTCTCAAATCTCGGCAGATTTCCAGAATCAACTTCTAGGTTCTTCATCGCTTACATATCACACACTTTGATATGATTTTACGTTTTGTTTCTCTCTGTTCAAAATCCAAAACTTTTTTTGTGTGTAGTATATTCTGCAAAATTTGAAGGCCACAATGCAAATTATTCTTATGCTAATATTTAGAGAGCTTAAGCACAACTTTGTGATTTAAGGATAGAACCATTGGCTTTCAAAAATCTTCTTTGTCTTTTCTATTCTTTCATGTCTTCACATGTATGATTTTATCCTCTAGGTAAGTAGTCAAATTTTTAAATCTAAGAATAATGTTGAATCATCTGTACTGATTTAAGTTCTGCATTTCAAATTCAGAAGAAGGGTTATTTTGTGGTTATTTTTTCTTTTATGCAGAGACAATTGTTTCTAAATCCTAATATCTAATCCACTAAATGAGCTATTTGTGAGTATTTAAAGAAGTACAAATAGATCCTATTACAATGGATAATATTTTCAATGTTAGCCAAAGATTTTAACTTCTCATTTTCTGTCTCCTCTTCATTAATGTCTTCATTCAAGATGCTTCCCAAGTTCCAAAAATTAGTAGGTTCAGTCAACCATTTTGGTTCGTCCTACAGTCTGAGTAATAAAAGCTGCATTGACATACAGCCCCTAGATTCCAAGTTGGTGGGATTCAGTTCATCAACTGCATGATTTCATGCAAAAGTGATCTTTCTAATTAAATGCTTCAACTACTGAAAGTGTCAGTTTTACACCCACTAAGGCAGCTAAAATTGCAGCAACCAATGAGAGTTTAACCCGGCGGAAGTCGCACCAAGAAAAGTTACTACCCCAATATTTAAAATACGATAAAAATAGTTTTATTTAGTTTTAAAGCTGTTTTTCTTGTTCTCGTGTATTATAAATACGTGAATAATAATTGGGTTTCAAAAATTAATTTCCAAAATAATCTTAGAATTAAAATTAAGATAAATGAAAATAATAAAAAAAAATAAACATTGTGCCTCTAAGTTTCATTGCATCTCTAATACACAATGCTTATTTTATTTCTTTACACTTTGAACGAAATACATTCATGTGTTCTTTTCACGGAATGTTTTCACATTTTAAACATTGCATTCACGTTCTTCTGTCCTTGGCGCAAGGCCAATTTATCACATCCAGTTTTATGTAGGGGTGAGGTATGATACACCCCACGCGCTTTCCCACTGTATTTGTATTCATTTTAATTTTTCGTCGAAACTTCTGCTTTTGTTTTGCATGCAGTACGTCAGTTTCTTGGTAAAGTATTAATCTCTGATTCTTTGTTCAATACTTTTTTTCATTAATTGTATTGTTAAGTCCTTGAAAAACAGACTTCTGTTTCTGTTGGTGGATTAGCAGTTGAATATAATATAATTGAAGCATTTATTACAGTAACATTCAGTGCAGAAAAAAAAAATTCCCTTTGCCCACCTTCTGGTTATTCTGGCAATTGAATAATTGGCTGACATTTCATCCCCCATATCCACTACTCCTTTAGTCATATTATAAAAACATATAATTCCTGCCGTTTTATTTTTTCCAATAGTATCATCTATAGTAGGATCGTTATATAATGTTGAAAGCATAAGAACAGTTTTTCCTTTTTTAGGAACCTTAGGAATTAATGTTTTATCTTTTTCGAAACCAAAACAGTGCAGAAAATATTCCTAGTTTCATCTTCAGTTTCCGAAATGCAATCTTAATCGCTTTCAAATATTTTCTAATAAATCTCACAGGCGTTGCATCTCCAATTCATAGGGAGTCATTCTTTTTACCATAATGCGGTTAGAAATGTATAAGAATTTAATGTCAAGTACTTTAAGTTCACTTGCGAGTACAAATATTTACTGTTACATTCTAGAAATAAATTTCTGAACTAAATATTCAGTCAGAAAAACACTTACGCGGACAGGCACTTGGGGTGTGTCATACCCCAGTTCCAACAAAATACCGATAAATATTTTTTCTGAAACACACAGGCAAAGAAAAAGCGGTTCTGAAAATCAACCACAACTAGAAACTCAGCTATTGAATGCAGCACAGAATTTCAGTTTCACAAGTTAGGAATATTCCAGTTTTATGTAGGGGTGGGGTATGATACAGCTTACGCACTTTCCCGTGGGATAATAGAAATTTCTCTTTTAATCTAAAAAATACTACAGCAGCATGATCATCTTTGCTGTCTTTACAGAAGATGTGTATTGTGCAATGCCTTATAGTAATAAAAGATGATAAATTGCATTCACGTTCTTCTGTCCTTGGTGCAATTGCAATTTATCACATCTTTCACACTTAGTTGTTTCGAATTTCATGTATTCGTTTTAATTTTTCGTCGAAACTTCTCCTTTTGTTTTGCATGCAGTATGTCAGTTTCTTGGTAAAGTATTAATCTCTGATTCTTTGTTCAATACTTTTTTTCATTAATTGTATTGTTAAGTCCTTGAAAGACAGACTTCTGTTTCTGTTGGTGGATAAGCAGTTGAATATAATATAATTCAAGCATTTATTACAGTAACATTCAGTGCAGAAAAAAAAATTCCCTTTGCCCACCTTCTGGTTATTCTGGCAATTGAATAATTGGCTGACATTTCATCCCCCATATCCACTACTCCTTTAGTCATATTATAAAAACATATAATTCCTGCCGTTTTATTTTTTCCAATAGTATCATCTATAGTAGGATCGTTATATAATGTTGAAAGCATAAGAACAGTTTTTCCTTTTTTAGGAACCTTAGGAATTAATGTTTTATCTTTTTTTGAAACCAAAACAGTGCAGAAAATATTCCTAGTTTCATCTTCAGTTTCCGAAATGCAATCTTAATCGCTTTCAAATATTTCTAATAAATCTCACAGGCGTTGCATCTCCAATTCATAGGGAGTCATTCTTTTTACCATAATGCGGTTAGAAATTTTTAAGAATTTAATGTCAAGTATTTTAAAATCACTTGTGAGTAGAAATATTTACTGTTACATTCTAGAAATAAATTTCTGAACTAAATATTCAGTCAGAAAAACACTTACGTGGACAGGCACTTGGGGTATGTCATACCCCAGTTCCAACAAAATACCGATAAATATTTTTCTGAAACACACAGGCAAAGAAAAAGCAGTTCTGAAAGTCAACCACAACTAGAAACTCAGCTATTGAACGCAGCACAGAATTTTAGTTTCACAAGTTAGGAATATTCCAGTTTTTATGTAGGGGTGAGGTATGATACACCCCACGCTCTTTCCTGCGGGATAATAGAAAATTCTCTTTTAATCTAAAAAATACTACAGCAGCATGATCATCTTTGCTGTCTTTACAGAAGGTGTGTATTGTGCAATGCCTTATAGTAATAAAATATGATAAAATTTGACCCACGTTTAAGACAGTGGTTCAAGAAAGGGTGGTTTTGCAACTTTGCTGATGCATCAAGTACTGATCGAACTGCTGATTTCTTTCATGGCAGGTCAGTAAAGTAAGGTTTTCCCATACAGAACCACTCAGTTTTGAGGAATATTTATTCTCAATGACTCCTTCATCCAGCAATTCCTAAAAAAACATTTTGACATTTGTCATACAAGTGGTGGGATATGAATTTTGTGTCACTTCATGTATTTTCTGGGCAAGGCTAAAGTTGTAGGGCAGAGGAGAAATATCAGTTCAAACAGTCTTTGTAATGATTGTCTTTATTAAATTTGACTGTTTCTAGGGAGTGTTCTTTAGCTTTTGAGTCTTTCTCCATTTTAACTTCTTTATGGGATTCTTGATTCATGTAACATCTAATCTCCAGAGATCAGCAATTTCCATTTTCTTCATAAACAGTGGTCTACTAATGGGACTTTACCCCTAATGTCCATCTGAGATGGGTTTCAACTGACTAAATCTGAGGTTAACATTTTTCTTCTGCCTATCAAAAGCCTACCAATAATATCTGCTCTGATGAAGACTTGAATTGAATAAGTTCATAAGAGGGATTAGTATCAGTTAAAACAAAACCTTTCAGTTCCTCAAACTAATGGTCTTTATTTATTGGCAGTACACTTTCACATATGATATCTTGATCAAAAATTTCAAAATTGCTAGTGGAATTCCCATGTAGTTGCTTTATTTTGTAACAGTTATGCTTATCTTTCTTTGCAGGAACACCACTAACTTAAGAATGTTTAATGATCTCTTGGCGGGTAGAATTATTTCATTTGTTTTTCAATATCACTCAAGTGCACAAATTTGTGAGCCAATATCACAAAACACAAAGATTATGCTCTCTTTTTAACCAGAAATAACTTAAGCTTTAAAAAATGTCTGAACTTTGGATTTAAATTATGTCTGAAAAGTTAACAAATTTTTCAGTAGAAATTTTTTCTGACTAGGCATGCTGCAGGTCTGCAGTTAATCAGACGTAAAAAGAACATCTTTTTTACTTCAAATGACACGTCGGTACTTATGTATTAATGCAACCAGGCCAAAATTCGTATAAATTGCCAAATTTGACAACCCTACTACTACGGCAACCCTACGTGTTATATGTAGTTTTTCGTAAAGAAATTATTTTTCTTACTGGTTAGATTGAATGCCCTGAAATACTTTAACTATGGGTATTTAGGATCTGCCTGCAAGTGAGAAAGATGCTGTCGAATTGTTGCAGGGATATGGAATTATACCAAACGAACGTACTTGTAAAAATTCTCATAAAATGAAACTGTATTTTGGAAAGCAAATCTTCTGGAAATGTAACGTCGAAGAGTGCAATCAACATTTGGGTATGAGAACCAGAAATTGGTTTGAAGGTAGCCGAATTTCATTTGTGACAGTGGTGCGCTTCATTTATTGTTGGTGTAAAGAGTTAACCTCAATTAAATTTTGTGCAGAAGAGATGGAAATTGCTGACAAAACTGTTATAGATTGGAATAATTACATGCGGGAGATATGTGCCCTTGAAAAGGATGAAAAAGAAAGAAAGCAAATAGGTGGCAAAGGACTTATTGGAGAAATAGACGAAAGTTTATTTGTAAAAAGAAAAAATAACACTGGGCGTGTACTACCACAGCAATGGGTTTTCGGCGGAATTTGCCGAGAAAAGGAAGAGACTTTTTTGGTTACTGTACCTAACAGAAGCACCGTTACCCTCATGGAAAAAATTTGCGAAAATATCAAAGGAAGGAAGCATCATTTATTCGGATTGCTGGAAAGGATACAATACAAGTGAGTTCGAAAATGCTGGATTTCTGCATGGAACTGTTAATCACAAATATAACTTTGGGGATCCCAACACGGGCATTCACATACAACATGTAGAGCACATGTGGGGCTCAGCCAAATGGCGCAACAAAAAACAGAGAGGAACAGCCCGTCATCATCTTGACTCATACCTTATTGAATTTATATGGCGCCAAGCTCAAGCTGTTAATAGCGAAGACGGTTTTCAATCAGTGCTAAAAGCAATAGCCAAAAGATTTCCGCCGAAAAAATAATTCTGCAACTTATTCAAATTCGAAACCGGAAGGGTTTAATTGCTATTTTATATTTAAAACAAAATAATATAAAAAACTGTATTAAAAATTATCTGTAATTAATAAATGTACATTTTCTATTCTTTCTATTCATACTTTTTTACTCAAACTTACAAATCGCGCCAACCTGGTTGCGATAATACGTAAGTACCGACACGTCTTAAAAACATGCAGCTTTTTCTAACTGAATAACTAGGCACACAAAGCAGCATTTCTTATCTTTGTCACCTGCCTATCCTTTAGTGTGAGTTTTTTAGCGTTAAAACAATCAGCACTGGCATGCTTGCATTCATAAAATGTGCATCTTGGTTTCATTCTTTTTGGTTTTTTAATAGATATCCAGCAGTATGAATGCCTTAGAAATTTTGCCTCTTTAAGGTTCCAAATTATATATATCTTTAGTTGAACCAAAACTTGACATTGCTAGATATTCTTTCCTCTCCCTTTATGAAGAGGAAAGAATATCTTTTCAGGAGTAACATCAGATTCAGCATTGCTTCACATTCTTTAAAGAACTGGAAGAAGGTCTTTTATTCCAAGCTTTTAAAAGCACTCATCAAAGCGTGATTCCATCATTGGATAAAGAATAGATGCACATTTGTCTGTTCTAACTCCCAGTGTTGCAAGAGTTTGTAAATAAGTTTCAAGCTTATCGTAGAAAAAGATCGGTGATAATTTATGATTGGGTTGTACAGATTATTAATTGCAACAGCTCCCTGACATATATTTCTACCAAAATATCTTCTCCCGAAATGAGCCTTATATGATTACTTAACACTAAATAATTTTCTTAAGTTGATATGTGTATGAATCTTATATCATTCTTTCGGCAGTTTTTGCATAATTCGCTCCACTATCTCTTTTGCTCTGGTATCAGTGACAGTTATTTACACTGAATGTTGTAATTTGTTTTCAGGAGGAAACAGTATCATCATTTTTATCAGTATGTTCTAATTGGCTTCAAAAGGGTAGCTATTCTTTTAAATCATTGCCAAATTGACTGAACTGTAATTTAGGCAATTTTTAAAATTTTTCTTTGAACTACTAGTATCTAAAACTGTATTCTCACCAACTTTGCTTCATTGTTTAGTTTAATTTTTTCTAACTCAATTCTTTTTCTTGCTTCTTTTTCCTCTAACCTAAATTTCTTGATTCTCTCGTCAACAATATTCTCCAAAATTCTTTCAACAAAATCTGAGTAATTTTTATATTCATTGCTGTTTAGAATCTTCTTTAAATCGAAATTTTTTTGATAATATAACTACTTCACCAATAGTGCAACTGAGTGTATATTAACTTGTCTAGTATAGCTACTTTGCTTTAAGTTTTTTTCATACATATATATTTCACTGATAAAAGCATAATTTCAGACTCAATTAATAAACATGGCTTAAATTTACAAAGTCCTGTCATGAACGCCAAGTATAAAATGTAATCCAAAAATTCACTGAATTTTCTGCTATTAAACTAACTTTTAAGCTCTAGACTCCATAAAGGTCTTTGATAAAGAAACATTGTACATCAAAGATTCTCAAATGAAGACATTTTTGTTTACACCCTTTAATTCTACGAAGCAAGTCGAGAGAATTACTCATTGTAATACTGAAATTGAAAGAATCCTTTTTAGAACAACAATAAACTGAAATTAAATATTCTTACCACTTATAAATTATATATATGGAATATCATTTGTATTTATTAAAATAAATACATAATAAGCAGATGATAACAATGCCAAAGATCAGCATGTGGCTTGCAAGGTGAAGCTTGACTGTAATACTGTATTTTATCAGTAGAATTTTATTTAATATGGAATTAATCTTTTATTCTTCATGTTTCTGAACAATATTTTATTAAAATGTAATTTACAGGCAACTGCTGTGTATCAAGCAAGACAGAAATTGCAGTGTATTGCCAAAAGCAATGAAAAAACTGTTTCTGTTGATGAACTAATAAAATATGCACATAGAATTAGCTGCTCATATGCAGTTGCTGCACCACACAACTGGCAACCTGGTAATATCATCTGCATTTTTAAAGATCATTGAAATAGATGCATTTTTTTTATAATCTGAATGTTATTTCAGTATGATAATCATCATTAAGAATTATAAACTGAATGCTTTTTTAGAATCTCCCGCCAACCTGATTTACGATATATTTCTCCCAACTTTTTCCTATTCTTAAAATTTCTCACAATTTTTATGGAACTTGGCTTAATACTTTGTTATATGAACAAAACAAAAAAAGTGATTTTGGATGTCTGAAAAGCAATTGAATTTTCTCTTGATTATATCTAAAACAAAACCTTGCGAATTAGATAACTTCTGCTTTGTAAGTGAGATCATATACGTATCCAGAAACGTCATTAAACAGTTCTCCAATGGGCATCGTGCTCCACTGCGTGTCATCTGGCACATATTAGCCAATGAGGACAAAGCAAGCTGTTATTTGGATGTTCTTTAGTTAATTCGGTCATTTTGTCCTGAGTTGTGTGAGTACACATGCCTTCGGGAAATATTTTTATAAATTATCATCTTTTGTTATGTCTGCGAGAAAGGTGAAATACATGTGTACATTTCAAAAATCGTACACAGTTGACTTTCATTCCATTATTTCCTGAAGGGAAAAAAAAAAAAAAATTGCAATGTGTACTGCCTGTCGTTGTGATTTTTCGATTTCGCATGGTGGAAGGGCAGATGTTCTCAAACATGAGCATACACAAAAACACAAGGACGACATGAGTTGTTTTGAAAAAATGAAAAATTAAATATTTCTTCGGAAACAAAGGACCAAAAAGTTATTAATGCAGAATGTCTGTTCTCTGCCTTTTTACTGGAGTACAACCTGCCACTATGCCACAGCTGAAAGAGGGCCAGCTTCTTTACCAATAAATGTAGATGAACACATTGTTGATATTTATTATTATCTTGAAAGGAGTTCTAAAGGAAAGGAAAAATGGAAACAGTTCTAAAAGAAAGGAAAAATGGAAACAGTTCTAAAGGAAAGGAAAAATGGAAACAGCTGCATAACAGCAGTTTACAATTAGAAAACTTGGATGAGGTTATAAAATCAGCTAGGATTGACACCCAGTGGAGTTCAATTGGAAAACTGAAAGATGCTGATGGAATTTTAAAATATAGTGAACTGTCTAGAATTGTGTTAGCCATCTTGACAGTTTCCCATAGTAATGCAGAGTGTGAGAGGATTTTCAGTGTTGCGAAACCGAGGACTAAATTTAGATCTAATATGATGACACATTAGAAATGTGATGTTCATGTGATTTGTAATGTGATGACACATTAGAAAAACTTGTATTAGCAAAAGCAGGCCTAAGGGGCAATTGCTATGAACAAAATTATGAAGTTTCTTTCTTAAATTTCTTTATTTTTAAAGACCTCAGTACATATGGTAATTTGGTTCTCACCAATGCACTGTGAACAATTCTCAGTGCTTTTCAGCAATAAAATCTGTGTTATTATTTCTTGCAGATATTGTTTGGCAAATCCATTCAAAAGAGTATCAAACAGATTGTTATTTTCTGCACCTTCTGTCATATGAACTTTGATGAGTAAGATGAGACTTGCTGATGAACTGGGCCATGTTGTCATTTATTCCTCCATTTTGCTATCTACACATTTATTTCATTGTTTGCATATAGTCACCAGTTTGGGGATTGAAATTTAAAAAAAAGCCATTTCTCCTTCCTTATCCTCTTCCCAAAAGAGAGAGAGAGAAAACATTAACAAAAAATAAATAAAGATAAAAATCTCATATTTGTAGAAGAAATCTGCCACTGTTTGTAACATTTGTAACGAAAACTGATTAAAGTGTTTTCTTTTCTTAAATGATGCAAGTAATAAAAATGTTTTTTATGTGTAAGGTATTTTTGTGTTGCTTGCATTTAAGAATTAGTTACTATTTAAAGTTAATTCATTCTTAAAAACTATATTTTCGTCATTTAAAAAGTTTTTTTTAACATTGTAAAAAATCTCCCGATTTCTTAAAAAAATCTGATTTTTGAGTGTCATAGGTTGGCAAGTATGTGAAAATGATAAAACATTAACTATAACCGTATTAATGCCAAGTCCAAATTAAAATTATTTTTATGTAGTCAGATAACAGCATGGTATAGCCATTGCTACTATTATGCAATACGTGAAATCTTAAATTTATTAAAAATATTAGCAGAAGTATTTTTAAAGACCTCAGTACATATGGTAATTTGGTTCTCACCAATGCACTGTGAACAATTCTCAGTGCTTTTCAGCAATAAAATCTGTGTTATTATTTCTTGCAGATATTGTTTGGCAAATCCATTCAAAAGAGTATCAAACAGATTGTTATTTTCTGCACCTTCTGTCATATGAACTTTGATGAGTAAGATGAGACTTGCTGATGAACTGGGCCATGTTGTCATTTATTCCTCCATTTTGCTATCTACACATTTATTTCATTGTTTGCATATAGTCACCAGTTTGGGGATTGAAATTTAAAAAAAAGCCATTCTCCTTCCTTATCCTCTTCCCAAAAGAGAGAGAGAGAAAACATTAACAAAAAATAAATAAAGATAAAAATCTCATATTTGTAGAAGAATCAGAACAGCTTCTACAGCTGCCAAATTGCAAGAGTCAGAGTCAGGAGTGGTATTTTTGGCAATGTATTCGTGGGTACTGAAATAACCAACAAATATTTAGGTCTTTCTTATGTGCTTGTTCTGTTCCTGGTGTGATTTTGTACTTTTTGCCATAGATTTGGGTTTGCTGCAGTTTAAGCATAGAAATTCTAGAGAAATATTTTATTTAAAGATGAATAGATTGCAATCTCACAGTAGTTCACAATCCCACAATTCCCTCACTTTTTTTTAAATGCTGAAATAACCCTTTTTCTTTTTTTTTTTTTTTTTCCTTATTTGTGTGTGCATATTATTCTAAAAATATTGTTTTATAAGAATAAATTTAATTAAAAAAATTAAATTTAAATACATATTTAATTAAATATTCTTTGCGCCATTGCTGCAAGGAATGAAATTTAAATTTAAATTTAATTTTTAACAAATACGTATAAAAGTAAAAAGCAAATTTAAATTCTAAAAAAAGGAAAAAAGGCCAAAATAATTTTAAAAAAAAATGTGCAAATGTAAAAGATTTAATTCTGGAACTAATCTACAATATCATTTAAATTCAGAAGCATAAGCAAATCAAGTGCAAAATCAATCCATGAAAATAAATTTACTAATTTAATAAATGAAAATTAAATTAAACAATTTTTTTTTTTTAAAATGCATATGTGAATGACCGTTGAGTAGGCAGGAGACAGACTTATCAAGAGGAAGTTGCCTCCAAACCTAACTCTCCAATCATTCAATTCGTGTTTCGTCATTCATGCAGGCAAGGGTAAAAGTCAAAACCAAAAGTAATTCCAATAAAGTGGTACCCCTAGAAATTAACATTTAAGAATTAAAGTTCAAAAAGGAAAACACTAATGAAGTCCCTTGAGAAATAAGCAAGTAAAGTCAAGAATTAAACTTTTCCCTAAAAAATTAAATTTTTTAAAAAAATTAGTTCCTTGTAAAAAATTTTAGAAACCAATGTATTTTAGAAACCCTTGTCTACAGAAACTTCCCCTACACGAATATGCATATCAATAAAAAGGAACTAGACATAAACCATATAATCCAATAAGAAACAAAAAGAACTAATTCACAATTTTTTTAAAAAACAAATATATATTTAAAAATATAATTTCATATTTAGAAAATACCCAGATACTACATAAAAAATTTTAAAAAATACTTAAAGCAAGTAAATAGCAAGTTTTAATTCTAACTTACCTACTAATGAGTGTTGGGGTCTGCAAAAGTGTTGTGAAAGAGAAGTAAGTGTGTTCTTCAAATTATATAGATGGTGCTTATGTAGGTAAAGTTGAGTGTCAAGCTGCTATCTTTGTTATTTGGTTTCTAGATTTTTTTATTATTTTTTATAAGGATTTTTTTTTTTTTTTTTTTTTTTTTTAATTTAATTTTTTAGGAAAAAGTTTAATTCTTGACTTTACTTGCTTGTTTCTCAAGGGACTTCATTAGTGTTTTCCTTTTTGAACTTTAATTCTTAAATGTTAATTTCTAAAAGTACCACTTTATTGGAATTACTTTTGGTTTTGACTTTTACCCTTGCCTGCATGAATGACGAAACACGAATTGAATGATTGGAGGGTTAGGTATGGAGGCAACTTCCCTTGATAAGTCTGTCTAGTGCCTACTCAAGGGTCATTCACATATGCATTTTTTAAAAAAATATTGTTTAATTTAATTTTAATTTATTAAATTAGTAAATTTATTTTCATGGATTGATTTTGCACTTGATTTGCTTATGCTTCTGAATTTAAATGATATTGTAGATTAGTTCGAGAATTAAATCTTTTACATTTGCACATTTTTTTTTAATATTATTTTGGCTTTTTTCCTTTTTTTAGAATTTAAATTTGCTTTTTTACTTTTATACGTATTTGTTAAAAATTAAATTTAAATTTGTTTAAATTTATTCTAAAAATATGTTACAGTCAAAAGTCGTTAATTCGGACATCCATAATCCGGATCTCAAAGTTAAAAACTTTCTGCGCATGCGCCGCGTTGGCACATGCGCACAGGCATTTTACGCGTGCGCGTAAGACCTTGACTACTGCGCATATGCATGTGCGCAAGTGCAGAATACGTTTTCGCCTGCACGTTTAATGTATAACAGACGGTGTAAGCTAAAATTATCTAATTATCTATTTCAGTTAATGTTAATGATTGCATTGTTCCTTAATCTTCGAATTGGATCCCGCTGATTATTTTTTGCAGACTGTAAGAGCAATTTTATAAAAGTAAACTTGAACTTTCGATTATGTCAAATAGAATTTCCGATGCTGGAACTTCCAAAGGATCTACAAAACGAAAGTATGTTTCGATGTCCAACAAACAAAAAGTGGAATTGCTGCAAAAAATGGATAAAGACATGAAGAATGTGACAGAGAGGTTAGTGAAAACGAAAAAAATTTCGATTGACAAGTTAGTCAGTATTCTCGGCACAGCAATTAACGGGACTTGAACTGCGGGACTTTGTAACTGAACAAGAAATTATGTCTGTTTATAGAATTAAAGAGAAAGTATTCACATAAAATGAAGCAACTTAAACAACTTACATTGAAAGAAATGTTTAATAAAGTAAACAAATAAATATTAAGCTTTTTTTTTTTTTTTTTTTTTTTTTTTTTTTTTTTTTTTTTTTTTTTGTAAATTTTGATACCCTTTAGATCATAATTGTTCTTTATTTCATAAATTACGATTTCATATTTTTAATTTTAGAATTTCTGCATGCCATCTTACGAGATTTAAACTGATGATCTATAATCCGGAAAAATCGATAATCCGGAATCGAAGTCCCGACGAGTCCGGATTAACGACTTTTGACTGTACTAATTAAAGACTATATGTTATAATATGAATATTAAATTGATTTATTGAAACTTATTCTGAAATAAGGTGCTTGTAAATAAGATTGTCATCTGCTAGTCTGTTTAAAAATGGTGTTTATTACAAGTTGAAACTAATCTTAAATAGTATAAGCATTGAAGGAATCTTAAATAGTGTAAAAATTGACTTTTATATTTAAGTAAAAACAATTTTTCCTAATTAATTTAATTAACAGTGACATAAATATGAGCTTTCCCATCAAGAACAAATATCTTCTGCAGATCATTGTTTGGAAGATGATTAGTCTTTATGTCCAGTCAGTATTTTCAAATGTGTTTTTATTCAAAAAATTACATCGTCATGTATATGCGACTACTTAACACTAAATAATTATTTTAAGTTGATGTGTATGTGAATCTTGTATCATTGTCTTGGCAATATATGAAGTTATACTGAAAATTTTACCCAACAGTGATAAAATACTTGTCATAGACATTTTCTTGTAGAAGAAATGTCACATCTGGAAGGAATGTTCTAAATAAGACCTAAAATACTAGTGTCTAAAATTTAATTTTGAACAATTACATATAACTGATTTTTGAATTTTCTGTGTTATCAGTTATGTAGTATGGTCACAATTTTGAGTGATAGAAATGTTACTGGCCATTACTGGGATAACTTAGATGTTCAATGTGGTAACTCTGTTGTGGGCATTGTGTTAGTAATCAAAGTCCCACTCCATCCTCGTAGTGAAAGTGTTGGGGAGCAAGCACTCTGACAAATAATATCTCAAGATTCTTGAACAGAGGTGTTAACCAAGAAATCACATTGATAATTTGCAAAAAATATCTGTTGGTGTTTGCTGCTTGTGGGTATTTGTTACCCTGATGGAAAATGCTGTTTTGTATGCCCAGAAAGTAATAATAGTGCAATTAGCTGCTGCAACTTATCAGCATATCAGTATGCTGTCATTGTGTGCCGTATGCTTGCAAGAAGATATTGATTGTTGATATGATGTTGCTCTGAATAATGATTGCACATTGATGCTCAATGCACAGTGCAATCTGTCTCTAAGGATAGCTCTGGTACAAAGTCTTTATAAGCATTAATGAATGATTCAGATCTGCACAGAAGGTTGTATAACTGTAATATCCTCAATGAATTACTTTGGCAATTGTCTTTATCAATAATGGAGCCTCTAGACCTCTTAATGTACCACAGATTGAACGTGCAGCTACTACTGTGTGATATTGTAGCTGTCGATCTAGGCTTTATAACATTTATCTTATTAACTTATCCATAACCATTTCCAAGAAACCATCCAATATCAATGAAATGACTTGCATACCATTCTTCAATCATTATATCCATATTTAATACATTTATTTTTGCTCACTGAGTTTATGCTTCAAAAGTCAACCCATTTATATGCAATCTGAGATTTATCATAGTGAATGTATAAGTTTGATGAAAATGCCGTACTTAACCCTTATTTGGCCACAATAAAAAAATAATTTGACACAAAAAAAAAGTTTCTGGATGAAAATACTTAAAAAATTAAGCTCAATAAAATAGCTGTCCCTTTTTAGCATCCTTCCAAATCATGTGGTTTACTGAAAACTGAAATAATTTGGCTTATTAATCTAAATATGGTTTTAAATGTACCATAGCAAAATACCATAGCAAATGTACCATAGCAAAGTACTGTGGCAAAATTTCAGTTGGATAGCATTTTCTCTAGTAAGTAGCGTGTGTGCGGTGTCCTATATTTTAATTTTAAAAGTTTCTAAATGTACAAAATTCTGAAATTATTTTGGTATTTAGATGTTTGGGTTGTGTAGATTCTGCTTGGCTTTTTAATTAAAATTTCTTCTAAATCACATTTCAGGTGATCCACGACGTCCTTATCCAACCGATATAGAAATGAGGCTGGGCTTTCTTGGGCGACTAAGTGATTTACCTCTGAGTGGCAGTATGTTACAGCAGCAACAAGGAAATCTAGATATGTCAGTTTCTAGAGGACCTCATGGTGGTATGCTACTTGAGAATTATTATTATTTTAATATTTCATAAATTGATTATCAGGCTTGCCTTGTTATTTATATATATATAATTGGTAAAAAATATATTTACAGGTACCTCTTGGCAATAATTGGCGATTTTTGGCGGTACATGGATACTGAGTTTGTGCAATTCTTTGATTTGTTATTTTGGCTTTGTGTAGCAGCTTTTTTTGCCCAAAAAATCGCTGCACACAAAATCCATGTACACATCGAACTATTTTTACTTCAGAGAAATGCACAAACTAGTCATTACTCACTCCCTTGACTTTGTCCATGTACACATTGATCTATATTCACTTAAAAAGTGAAAGGAGCAGCCACAAAAAAAATATATATAAATCTCAATAAAGTACATTTTAAATCAAAGAATCAAATCACATAAAAAAGGAAATTCATCTTAGTACTACACAAAGGAAATATCCATTTAACCTTATTTACAAAGTTCCATGTCTTCAGTAAAAAAAAAAATTCCTTAACAGCATCCAAAAACTTCCTAAAATTATCTAAAAGTAGAATTTGTATACTGCAGGGTTGCCACGCTACCTGGAAAACCGGAAAAAGTCAGAGAATTCGAAAATTGACGAAAAAATTCAGGGAATTTAAGTATTTTAGTTAAAATCTGGAAAAGTCGGGGAATTTCATACAACGTTCCCACCAAAAAAACCGAGTTTTGAGACATCGGAAGAGATCACTTTTTTGGCGAATTGTGTATCACGTGAGTGTCATTCGGGCAGCTGGCATAGAGCCAATTTTCGTAGCTCCAATTTGATTGTCTTTTAGAAAGGCAAAGCAAGTTTCCCGCAACTTTTGGTTTCCAGTAACCTCGAGAATCGCATGTGCAGTGCATGAACTAAAGAAAGTACCTGTTCTCGTATGAAACAAAATGGGTTTAATCCTAGTATACGGTACCATGGAGGTTAGAATCAAAGAATATGTATTGTAAAGAAGGAAAACCTCTCTGCAACAGACGTGGCTCCGTTCCATCATAGAAAGAAACAGCTGTGCATGCGCGATATATCTGTCGCCAAAGCTCGAAACCAGTATCGAGGTTCGAAGGTCACGTTATCAAGAGTTCATAAAATGAATATCATTTAAAATTTCTTTAAACTCTGAAGGAAAAGAAAATATTTTTTGGCACAAGTAAATTAATTCATGGATTAGTTATTTTGAGGGGGGGGGAAATACGAAAATCTGTTTTTAAAATTATTGCGAAAAATCCAAGTGGAAACGTTCTTTGATAAAACGTTTCTTCTTGGATTTTTCGCAATAATTTAAAAACGGATTTTCGTAGTTTTCTTTTTTGTCAAAGAATGCTTCTTCTTAACACGTTTTTCAATTTCCTGTACACATCGCGGAGAGGGAAATTCTGGCCGCCAGGTTCTGTCGCCAAATCCCTTGGCAAATTTTCCCTCCAAAATCTAGCAGCGTAATAGCATTTATGTGTATGGAACCTTTTCTTCTTTACATAGACGTTCTTTGGTTAGAATAATCTCCATGTATGGTACAACGGGATTTGGTGACATGATGATGAGCAGTAAACGGGTCATTTTGGTCTTGGCAACAATTTTCAAAATCGTGCCAAAGCCTTACCGTATTCTAGGATTTTACCGTAAAATCTTTTTAAACTTTTTTTCTTAGCCTTACCGTATTCTAGGATTTTACCGTAAAATCTTTTTAAACTTTTTTTCTTCTTTTTAATAAATACCTTGTCATTTTGCAGTAAAATAAAAAAATAGTAATCAATCATGATGTAATATTATATTCGCTAAAATATCGTTGATTATTCTAATTCAATTTTTAAGTAATTTTCTTTATTTTTATGTTATTCGTATCATTTAATGTTGCTTCTTCCCTCTAAATTTATTTATTATTAGTAAATAATATTTCCAAATTTCAGGAAATTTTCTCTGGCATAATCCTGAAATTAATTCTAGCAGTATGATGACATACCATCACGAAATTTAATGCACATAATTTTTCCTTATGTATGCTGCAAAATATATATAAAATACCTCAGTTTATTAAATAAATGTCATTAAATACTAGATTTCTTTCTTTCGTTTGGCTGCAAAATGTCTGCAAAAAAAGCCTTATTTTATTCCAGATTGGAGAGATTCTAATCTCAATCTTCAGTGGAGAAAACAACTCCTATTATAATTATATTTGTGTTTTCAAGTGTTAAGGTGCCTTTTAAGAAGACACCTCACACAAATTAAATTTACCAAAAATCTAACCTAACTATTTAGCATTGCGTTGTGATTTATGAGGACCGGATTAGCCTCGTTTTGAACTGGTGATGATCATGAGTAATAATTAAATAAAACATACAATTGTTATCCAATGTATATATCTTAAATTTTATTAAGTTTCTTAAGTAGAAAAGTAAACAAAATTCCAAACAAAGTATACCAAGAATAATTAAGAATAAATGTCCTTTGGGATTTATTGAATAATTAAGTGAATTTGCTACACAATACAAGTAATACCATAGTTAATTTACCTCTTAACACAGCCAACGTACATTACGCGGATAGACTGGACTTGAAACACACCTGGAAAAGTCGGGGAATTTCATTCTCCTGTTTGAGTGGCAACCCTGATACTGGCATCGGCACATAAATTTGCAAAAAAAAGAGTCAATAATATCCTCTGATTGCTCGGCCATACGCATTTCCTTCCTGCAGATAGGACACTTATAATGGCTACTAAGTAAACCTTCGTTGACACACCAGTCAATTAATGCTTTTTTCCTTTTCAGTCCAAATTCTACAGAAACTTCAATTAATCTTGCCATTTCACAGTGTAAACCACAAATAATGTACTTCTTATCCAAAATCCAGCACACAAACAAGCCTTTCCATATCTTTTCCCATCATTCAAATTCACCGCTGTAATGCTTAACCCTTAACTTCCCACTGTTGCATTTCTGCAACATATGATTTATTTTAATTTAACAGACTCAATATTTTTTTTAATTACCTACAAATCACTTATCTAAGAAAAAAAGATTACTGCAACGAAATACATGCTAATTTTGTCACTAGATAGCAACACATTTTTTCCAGAAATCACAACAATTATAAAAATCTCTGTTGCCTCAAGAACTGTGTTTTTGCTATAAAAAAATCCATTATATTTTATGCTTCCTCTTGTTTATGGACGAAAACAATTACCAGGTAAAAAATTTAAACATTTTATGTTCATTTAAAAGTAATTTTGATTTTTTAATGGAAAAAGTTTGAAAGAAATTTGATTTTAATTATATGTTGCAGGTCTGCAACATTGGTCTTTGGTTACCGTTTTGACATGGCCAAAACGCGTATACTAACCTAAGATGAAATTGCTAGATATATGAATAATTTGGACAAATTAAGTGATTTAAGTGAGGATGGTATTGAATATTCTGCTGATGATATTCATTTTTTACCTGATTGTGTGTCATCTAATGATGATTCGGATAGCGACTGTGCAAATAGTGTTGTTTCACAAAATACAATTCAGAATATAAAAAAATCCAATGATGATGATAATAAATTTGATAGAAATATTTCAGTCAGTGTGTGTGTGTGATTATGGCAAGGCCTCGAGAGCTATCTGCCTACGGGGAGGGATGACTTCGTGGAGGATTTTCTAAGGAAACTGGCTTGTATACAAGTTACACATGGGGAAAACGACCATGCAGCCAGCCCCGTTCGCGGGATTCAAACATAGGACCGAACTACCAGTGTTCAGCGACTTTACCGCTCGGTCGCTGGTATATTTCAGTCAGAGAACTTTTTTTAAAATTTAACTGTAAGAATAATAAAACATTGTCAAAGAATATTTTATGGAAAAATCAAAACATTTCATTGATTGAAGAAGTAATAAAATTCCATAGAGATGACACGCTCCCAAGAGAAATTACGGATTTGGACACTACGTACCAATTTTTTAAATATTTATGAACGGAAGAGATCATAAGTAACATTTATGAAGACCACAAATGATATGCTATTCAAAAGAATCCAAGTAAGCCTTTGACTATATCAGAGAATGAAATAAATCAATATTTGGGTATTTGTATTTATGCATCTCTAGTTCACTTGCCAAACTATAGAGCATACTGGTCAGAAGAGCTTGGATTTGATCTAATTAAAGAAACAATGAAGAAATCTGAAAATTAAAAAAATCTAATGAATTTACAAAAATTCAAATCTGAAGTTGCGTCATGCTTATGCAAAATGGGGTACAATCGAAATGCTAAAAGAGATAACTAGATTTACCTAGTAATACTTCAATAGAACAAATGTCTCAGACAAAAAGATGCAAAGGGACTGCCCAATCCGTTCCATGTAAGGACATTCGTAGAGATGGTATAAATCATTGTCCAATATGATCAGAAAAGAATATGGTGCAAATTTTCAAACTGCAAGAGCTACACTCAAACTGAGTGCGAAAAGTGTAAAGTAGGGGACTTTTTACAACAAAGTCAATAACTGCTTTAAAAATTTTCATTGTATCTAAGGCTAAAGCAATTTATAACAATGAATAATAAAATCCTCATATAAAAAAAAGTTTTGTAATTTTACAGCACTACTGCACAATGTTGCACTTCTGCAACAAACAAAAAAATGACTGAAATTCAATTTAAAACTGCTTAATTTTTTTTTAAATATTTGTCCCTTTTATTATTACTTAAGAAGTAGCTGATATAATTTTTTCATAGAAATTTAAAAAATTGGGAAGTTAAGGGTTAAAAGCATTCACTTAATCTAGTGCTGAAGTGGCGCTATGGTAAATTAACATAGTAAACTTTAAACAGTGCATTTATTCTATTGTGATTTTTGTGCTATCGACAAAGTAGATTTAATTCAAAATTCGTTAACTGTTAATTCAGTGATTTTAAATGAAATGCAAGAAAATTGCATATAATTTAATATTCCATACTAGGAAGTCGTGGTGTGCACATCAGATTTTTTATTAACAGACTACGATTTGAAAGCTAGCAGTGGCAACACTTTTCGAAATAAAAGATTTTTATCGCCATCGTGCACAACTGTTGCCACTCAGGAAAATGAGTATTTTCAGAGTTTTTAATTTATATCTCAGCTGATTTCAGATGCACAAAGATGTGAACAGTTCATATGGCTTCCCACAAATTTTTGAAATCAAAAATAATATATTTGATCTTTGGCAATGCTATATTTTTATTTCATATTTTGTAAAACTTAGAAATTTTTCATTAACAAACCCTATGATTCGAAAGTGAGCAGTGGCAACACTTTTCGAAATAAAGCAGATTTTTATCTCCAGTGTATGCTCCTGTTGCCATTTGGAAAAAATGAGTGCAAAAATTAGAATTTTCAGAGTTTTTCATTAATATCTCGGGTGATTAAAGTGGTACAGAAATGAGAATAGTCGAAATGGCTTCCCAGGAATTTTTGGAATTTTGAATCCCATGAATTCCACATTGTTGTTGTAAGAATAATAAAATTTTGATGGGTTGCATGATAATAAGCTTCTTATTGAAGGCATTTTAAGGTTTATTGGGTTGTGTCCAGTGTTTCTTATTTCTGTTTAATATTTTTTATTAGTTAGTGGTTTCTGTAGCAATGAGTAAATTCATTTGTAATTATTCAATGTTGACTTGCATCAAAAGGGAATAATTTTGTGCCAAATGAGGCAACTTAGTTCCAGATATCAAGTTCAAAAAAAGACTTTGATTAACATAATGGACTGTTGATTAAATCCAAAGTATTTTTGAGTCATTAATATTTTCTATTATATTGATTCAAATCTAAGCAAAATGAAAGGAAACTGGCCAGTAGAATTTTAACAAATACAATTTTGGTATTTGCATATTAACACAAGCAGCTTGGTGCAATCTGGTGACTTTTTACACATAAAAAGCTAAAAATTTCTTATCAAGTGCAATTTTGCAACCCCACCCCCTTTTTTTAACTTTTGAAACTCTTGTTATTTACTGGAATTCAAAAAAACATTATCAACCTAAAAATGAAAACACACTTTAAAAAATTAAATGCTTAAATTTTTAGCAATGTCCTGTAATTTTAGCACTCCTTTCCCCATAGATACAGCAATCTGTTTTTGCTTAAAAAAATTAGAAAATTGAATCAACTTGGCATTACACAATGGCTGTCAAATGAACCCCATTATTGTTTCCTTTAGTCACTTTTTTGACAAAATATTGTGGTCCTACAGATACTTTAACACAGTTTCCTCCATCGCAGGCAAACTCCACAAGCAATATTTTAGAATTGAGTAGAAGGCAAAAAAAAATATTTGTATCTAAAAACCATTGGAACTTGGAATACAACAAAAAGAATGCATGTGAAAATGGTGATATTGCTTTAACCGAAAGACTGCTTTGTGCATGGTTGGCAGATGTCAGAATTTGGCAACTTCCACAGAAGTAGTTGCAATAATGTATATGTACCAATTTTTTTTCAGCTCTGTTCCCAGTCAAAATAATTTTATTTTTGAATTCTAAATTTTATTCAAATAATTCATGATTTTAGGATAATACCCCTATCAAAAGATTAAAACAAAATAATTTTTAGTACTATGAAGTTTATCAGAAATTATTACCTGAAATGCTTAAATCATCTCAGAATTTATTCATATTTGCTGATAAAATTTTAAAACAAATAATTTGCCTTTTTTAGAACAAAATCCATCCTCACAAGCTGGAACATTTACCTGGCCAGCATCAAGTGATTTGAAAAGCAGTATGAGTGCTTCCAGTAACCATGGGGTTGGCATGGATACTAAATCTCATAATAAAGAAAATGAAGATGTGGAAGTTATGTCTACTGATTCGTCCAGTAGCTCATCTAGTGACAGTCAATAATCAGTATAATTTATTTTGTAAATATTTCATTTGTAATATCTCTCATGTCATTTACATTTGTAATCATTTGATTCATCCAATTAAATGATTTTATAATAGTATATTTTCCATTTATATTCATTAAGCAGTGTTGTGGCTATTGTATAACATATATGTGGGGAAACAAAATATTTCTAATAACATTTTAGCACAAATTAACGTAACTCAAGAATTAAATAAATCTGCTGTAAAAATTGCATTCTCACCAAAACAAAGGTCACCAGAATACTTTGTTGTAAATTTGTATGTTTTACCCAGGTAGCACGTCTCCAAAAATATACGTATAATTTTGGTGAAATAAGGGCATGGTATTTTTTGCACGTTACTTTTACGAAATTTATATGAATGAAAAAGGCTGAAGTTACTGTTGACTCTTTATCGTTATTTTCCACACGTTATTTTTACGAAAATTATACGAATCCGAATGTACTGAAAAAAACTACCGCCATAATGGTATATTTTATTCGTCACTTTTACGGATATTATACGAAGTCTAAAAAGATTGAAAATGAAGTTTATTAATTCAAAATATTTAGTGCATTTTTGGCATTTCACTTTGTTTTCCTTTTCCACGAACATGAAAAAAGGGGCATTCATATATGAGGCTGAAATTTTTCTATGAATTTTAACATGTGAGCTAAATCTTTACATGCATTTTTGCAAAAAATTATATTTTCTTAATTTAAAGATCTTTAAAATAACTTATTTATTTTCTTATATCAAATTTGTTATTTTTATTCCTATCAACACTTACATTAATTTACACAATTTAATTTCTTTTATGAAAATCCTATTACCCATTTAAATGGAATAAGCTGTATATTAAATTTGTGTACTTACTGAGTTTGGTACAATACTCGCCTTATTTTATTTAGCTAATGTGGGCAATTAAATTGGAATAAGACTAGCAAATCTTTCATGTCGAGGAATAGAATAATAAATAAAGCAGAAGATGCTTGAAAATGTTTAACTTCTTGAACAATAGTTTAATGAAGACCAAAGGATCATTAATTATAATCAAAGATATACTAATATTTTTATTTAATAATAATATAATAATAACTCTATGAAATTGCAAGCTAAATCCTGATATTTTGCATATATTTCAGTTCCTTTAATCTTTGTTATAAAAATCACATGAGGCTAACATTTTTTTTTTAATTTTGTTTAATGTATGGGAAAAATGATATAGTGATTTTAATAATTTTTATATGAGGAAAAAAAAAATAAATAATTATATTATTTTTATATTTTCCTGAAACAGTTAAAGACATTCTTAATATGGAGATCTACAGAATAAGTACAAGGGTCTAGTTAAATGAACTAAAAATTTGAAAATTAGTTAAATGAACTCAAAATTAGTTAATTTTACGCTAACTTATAAAAATTAACCGGATTTACGATTATACACTGAGCATGCGCATACACAGACATTTCTATTTTTCGTAGAAAAATTGAATTATTACCTTAATACAGTCAAAAGTCGTTAATTTGGACACCCATAATCCAGAATGATCTATAATCCAGACCTCAAAGCTACAAACTTTCTGCGCATGCGTCGCGTAAGACCTTTACGTCTGCGAATATGCTTGTGCGTGTGCACAAAATAAGTTTATGAGTGCGCGTTTAATGTATAACGGACGGTATAGGCTAAGTTAAAATTATCTAATTATCTATTTCAGTTAATGTTGCAGATTGTGTTGTTCCTTAATCTTCGAATTGGATCCGGCTTATTAATTTTTGCAGACTGTTAGAGCAGTTTTATAAAAGTAAGCTTGAACTTTCGATTATGTCAAATAGAATTTCTGATGTATATTTATTAAAATGTAAAGGATCTACAAAGCGAAAGTATGTTTCAAAGTTCATTAAACAAAAAAAAGTGGAATTGCTGCAAAAAATGGATAAAGGCATATCCTTTGTTTATCTAAACTTTAACGTTTGTTTATCTAAACTTTGTTTATCTTTAACGCTGGGGCACGCAATGAATTGGAAGTTGATCTGTCAGGGCTATCCTTATCTTCAGGGCAGATGTTTTTATTTTATTTGGCTTATAATTCCTTACTAAATGTAGTATTTCATCTCGATGTACTCCGTCTTTGATATGATTTAAATCAAATTCCTCGTCATTATAATTCGCTTCCGATAGCGAAGAAAGTAATAGAGGTTATTGAAAACAAAAAAATTTCGATTGACAAATTAGTCGGTAGACACAGCAATTATAGGACTTGAACAGCAGAACTTTGTAACTGAACAAGAAATTATGTCTGTTTATAGAATTAAAGAGAATGTATTATCACATAAAAAACGAAGCAACTTAAACAACTTACATTGAAAGAAATGTTTAATAAAGTAAACAAATAAATATTAAGCTTTTTTTTTTTTTTTTTTTTTTTTGTAAATTTTGATACCCTTTAGATCATAATTGTTCTTTATTTCATAAATTACGGTTTCATATTTTTATTAAATTTTGATACCCTTTAGATCATAATTGTTTTTTATTTCATAAATTACAGTTACATATTTTTATTTTTAATTTTATAATTTCTGCATGCCATCTTACTAGATTTAAACTGATGATCTATAATCCGGAATCGCCGAAGTCTGGACGAGTCCGGATTAATGACTTTTGACTGTACAGAGATGCTGTGAATATAAATTTATATAAGCAAAAGTAAGTTTATTTCATATGCTAATTTAGAGGCTTTCTTAATATGTTTAACTATAAAGAAAAAAAATGCATTGCAATTCTTATTCACTGACCAATGGAAAAGCAGACACTTTCTACTTCCGGTTGTGGCGGGATATTTGTGAAGTCAGCAATTGCGGTCGAAAAGAATGGTAAAGTCGCAAAGAATGGTGTTTGTTCGTGGATTGGCGTTTGTGACTGAATCCATCGATGTTACTAATTATTTGAAGAAAGTAAGTGAATATTTTATATTTTCAGTGTTTAATACGCATACTTTCTTGACCTATATAAAATTTTATAAATAGCGTCTGTGTAGGAAATGTGATTTTCCATGTGTTGTTCTTTTGTGTACGTGCCTAATGATTCATTTTCAGGATTTGGTACTGTTGTTAATGACATAGAATAACCAAATCAATAAATTGAAAAAAAATTTGCCCTAGGTCTGTTTCTTACTGTTTGTGTCACTCCTGTTTGTATGTGTCTCACCTTTTTATAGTTATATTATTTTTACTCAAACGTTTTAATATTTATCTTAAAGCATACTGTAATTAAGCAGGAAATAGCTTTTAATACAAAAAGAAAGGCAATATTAACATGATTAATTGTTCAGAAATCTGTTTTGGAAATATTATCTACCTTATGCCAAAAAATAAAGCATGTAACTTTCATTTATTTATGAAATTCAAAATTTTTTATTTGCTTGGTGTTTTCCCTAAAAATAATTTAATTTCTTATTTTTGAATTTAGTTTTATAAATTTGCTTTAATATATAATCTTTAACTCAAAGATATTGTGCTATTAAAACAGGAAATTTTATGCGATAGAAACACAGGTACTTTGTTCCAAATCTTTGTTCATTTTATTTTGTATGTACTGAATTTTCTGTAATTACTGAAATATATCAAGTTTTCTTATCATGAATGCACATCTTTTTTGTTTGTTTGATTTCTTCGTTTTAAAAGATCTTGTTTGATTTCGTCGTTTTAAAAGATCTGCCATAGTTAAAGAAAGAAAATAAAGTAAGAATGCTTTACTTTCAGTTTTGAATCAATTTATTACTATTTACTGCAGCTTCAGGTTTCTCTAAACATAATTTTCGAAGTCAAAACTTGATAGTTATGTTGATTATTAGACTTGCATGAAAAAATTCATTGAAAAGTTAGTATTTGATCTAAAATACCTTAAATTATTTGAATTATATTTTACTAAATCATGTATTTTGATATAACTAGAAAGTTAAAAAAATGAAAATTGTAAATGTGCAGAAATGCTTATATAACACCAAGAAACTGTTTATATTTTTGTTGCTTTTTTTCTTGTAAATTAAATATATACAGTCAAAAGTTGTTAATTCGGACACCCATAATCCGAAATGATATATAATCCGGACCTCAAAGCTAAAAACTTTCTGCGCATGCGCCACGTTGACACATGCGCATAGGCGTTTACACGTGCGCGTAAGACCTTTACGACTGCGCCTATGCATGTGTGCAAGCGTAGAATATGTTTTCGCGTGCGCGTTTTATGTATAACAGACAGTATAAGCTAAAATTATCTAATTATCTATTTCAGTTAATGTTGATAATTGCGTTGTTCCTTAATCTTCGAATTGGATACGGCTTATTATTTTTTGCAGACTGTAAGAGAAATTTTATAAAAGTAAACTTGAACTTTCGATTATGTCAAATAGAAATTCCGATGCTGGAGCTCCCAAAGGATCTACAAAACGAAAGTATGTTTCGATGTCCATCAAACAAAAAGTAGAATTGCTGCAAAAAATGGATAAAGACATAAGAAGGTGATGGGTTAGTGAAAACAAAAAAATTTTGATTGACAAGTTAGTCGGTATCCTCGGCACAGCAATTACGGGACTTGAACAGCAGAACTTTGTAACTGAACAAGAAATTATGTCTGTTTATAGAATAAAAGAGAAAGTATTATCACATAAAACGAAGCAACTTAAACAACTTTCATTGAAATAAATGTTTAATAAAGTAAACAAATAAATATTAAGATTTTTTTTGTAAATTTTGATACCCTTTAGATCTGTTCTTTATTTCATAAATTACGGTTTCATATTTTTAATTTTATAATTTCTGCATGCCATCTTACGAGATTTAAACTGATGATCTATAATCCGGAATCGCCGAAGTCCCGACGAGTCCGAATTAACGACTTTTGACTGTATTTTGACGTCCAATCTACTAGACCATCAAAGACACAGATTTGGATTTTCTATTTCATAGTTATTGAAATCATGATGGTATGTTTGTTTAAATTAGTACTGTTTATGAATGTCATAAAAATACTAAAAGCTAAGAAATTATTCATTTTCTAGTAATTATGAACTGTAAATAATGTAACCAATTTTCTTCATG